TCGTCGTATCCCTTATTATGATTTTAATATAGTTTTGTCTAAGTTTCGACTGTTATTAAGGGGTTTCGTCCCTCATCATTAATTTATATAGAAAGTAGTATAATTTCAGATTATCAAAATTTCATAAGTTATCATAAATTTTCATTACATTTAATAAATTACATAAAAAGATTATCATTTAATTATTTTCTAATGCATCTTCTTTCTAAAAAAACGTTTTCATAAAAATTACTTACGCAAAAATAATGAAAGATTTAGAACTTTAAAGAAAATTTTTATAATTCTAGATTAGAGAAGAAATCTAAAGTTGAAGAAGTAGCTGGTAAGTGAGAAAATAAATAAGATAGTAGTTAGGAAGATGAAAATTAGGTGAATGAAAGAATTTTACAAGATAGGTGAAAAGTTTTAATAAATTTAGTTTAGAAGAATAATACAGTATTAAATAAATGAAAGCATGAGCTTTATCTTATTAGACTAATAAAAAAAGTTTACATATTATGACAAGTGGGGTCTGAATAGTACTTATACTATTATATAAGTAACACAAAAAATATAACTGAATATTTTTTTTTCTATAAAGGATTCTGATAATAATATTTTTTTTTTAGATACAGCTAACAAAATTTTTAAATTTTTAAATAATAGAAATGAAGAGGATGGTTAAATATTTAAAAATACTTTGCAAAAAATTACAATATTAAAAACTAAATTAGAAAAATCTCATAAGAAAAATGTTTATTATTAAATATAGTAAAAAAAGAGCAATCTTTGAATATCTTCAAAGATTAGATGAAAATGATAGAGAAAAAATAAATGAAAGTATGTAAGTCGCTAAAATAGTATTTATTAATACTAATTCTTATAAAGTAATAATGATCTATAAATGGGTAAAATATTGGTTAAAAATGGATTATCTTTTTCCTGTATATCATGAAAAATATTCAAAAGATAGTATGATTAATTGATAATGAGGATATAACTAATAGATATAAAGTTTAGATTCAAATACAAGGTAGTAGAGTTATTTCAAAAACTTTTAAAGATTTTATTAAAAATATACTTTTTATTGAAACTGATATTACTATTTCATCTATAATAGCTATCTGATAGCTAATATTCTTAGATTTTTTATCAATAACATCATTAAGACATATATTATAATAGATACAAATATAAAGAAGTAATAACTTATCGAGAAGAATTTCTTAAAACAATTTCTTATTATGAAACCTATATGGTAAAATATAATAAAAATAATATGAAGCGTGTTTCTTCTGAATTAAAAGATGGTAAAAAGAATATATTTTAATTACTTATAATGAATGCATTTTTTATATTAAGATGGTAAAAGAGGAGGTTGAATTTCAAATGGTGAATTACTATTACGAAAAAAAGGAAATAGAAGATTAATTATAATTAGTGAATTTCTTTCTGAAGCTTATAAGCATTTGTGTTTAAATTAAGAAGATATATTAAAATATCCAACTGTATTAAATAAAATACAAGTTTATTTAATACTTGATAAAAATCAAGAGAGTTATTGAACCATTCAACATTTACTTAAACAAATAGAATACAAAGTAATACCAATTTTTTAAGGCTTTATTTTCTAATTATATAGCAGTTTTTGCTTTTGATAACAGTTCAAATCATTCAGCATATCATTCTGATGCATTATTATCTAATCGAATAAATCTTAAAACCTGAAGAAAAATAAAATAAAATGAGTAGCACAATGTGATGACCAAATAATCAATATCAGAAAATAGTTTTTCCTGATAATTATCATATATCAGAACTTTAAGAAAAGCCTAAGAGTATAAAACAAATTCTTTATGAAAGAGGATTTTGAAATAAAAAATATACGGTAGATTGTAATTTATATAAAAATAAAGCTACCTGAAATGATCTAATATAAACTAAATATTATGTAAAATGTATTATATCATTACAATCTGACTTTCTTACACAAAAAAGTACACTTCAAGAGATGATAGAAGAAGCTAATCATGTATGCATTTTTTATCCTAAGTTTTATTGTGAGTTAAATTTTATTAAATGATATTGAGGAGCAGTAAAATATTATACTCAAAAAAATTATGGTTATTTTTGGTCAGGATTATAACAAATAATTCCTTTAAGTTTAGAATTAATAATCTTATTATAATTAGAAAATTTATTCAACATGCTTAGTATTATATAGATGTATATAGAAAAGAAATATCTGATAAATTAGCTAAATATGTAGTAAAAAAAAATATAAAAGTTATAGACAAATTTCTGATCATGTAAAAAATTAAATAAAATTACTTTATAAAATTTGTGTTTAATTTTATTTTTAATATGTAAATCATTATTATGTGTCTTAAATTTATTTAGTTAAAAATCACGTGATTAATTACAAAATGACTTAAAATTTTCAGACTATTTTTGAATATAGATGAAATGTATTATATAATCAATTATAGTAATACTCTTTATAAGTAAATTTGCTTTAAAAGTTATTATGTATTCAATTATATGACTATAAAGTAGTATAACTATAATTTTAATTAATTTTATTTAAAAATTTAAATTGAAATAAATATATAAAATATAATTAAACTAAATTAAAGGCAATATTTTATTATTTATAAATAATAAAAAAATTAAATAAAATAGTTTATTATAGTACTTGTAATTATATAATAAATCAATAATACTAATAATATTTTTTAAGATTTTAATCTTCAAAAAATCAATCAAGATAATAAATAATTATAATAAGATATAACTATATAAAAGGAAATTTATTTATATTAACTAATAATATTAGCTTAATAATTGATATAATGGTAATTATAATTAATAAAAAAAGTATTTTATATTTAAAAATCAAAATCAAAAATAGTGTATTTAAAAGAGAATATGATTATATAAAAAGTGATTATAAAGAAAGTTAATTATATTTTCAAAATAAAAAAATTAATCTAAGAAGAATAAGATTAATTTTACTTTATATAACAAATTTTAAATAAATAATTTTATTTTTTAAAACTTTATTTATTTAAGAATAATATTATCATAGTTGAATCTACTATTCCTATTAGTAACATATCATCATAAAATTACATTAAAGCAATTTAATATTTTTATTATTAAAATAAAGAAAAGCAGAATTTTTGTTTAAATAAATATATAAAATTAAGTAGTTATTTTTAAATGTAATCAAATTAATTTTTAAAATTTTGATTAACTAATATAAATCTAATAAGTAATAAATGTAATAATGATTAAAGAAAAACTATACTTTGGCTAAATTGTTTAAGTTTAAATTACTATTAATTAAACTTTAAATTTCTAATAAATTTAAACAGAAATTACTAATTTGTTAATAAGAATTTTGTTATATGATAAATATAAAAGTAGAATTTTATAAAATTGTCATAATGATATAATGCCAAAAGTAAAATATCATAATATAAAAAGTAGAATATACATTTAACTTATGATATTTGCAAAATAGCTAAATAGCTTATTCTTGCTTCCATTCTTGTAGTTAATAGTATTTCAACTTATTTATAAAAGGTTTGGAATAAATTTAATAAATTTAGATTTATAAAAAATTATGAATTTTAAATATTTTCGAAATACAGATATAAGAAAATAAACATTCCCAGGTGCTTTTTCTCATGATAATTAATAAACTAATTATTATGAAGATATAATTCAAGATACATTAATAAATTATTATTGTTAAATTAACAAAGACATCAAAGCCTTTATTATTATATTCTAAAACTTAATTTTTTTAAATATGAATCACATTATTATTTATTTACCTCGTTCTATTAATCAAAGGACTGAAGTCCCTAAAAAGGTGCCTATTTGAAAAGAAATTTTTCTCCGTAAAACTTTATTTTTTTTGCCAAAAAAAAATTATATAAAGCGCAGGAAAGGTTTCTATCGAAACATTTTTTTAACTTGCTTTTTCAGTAATAAACTATTTGATAAATAAACATAAATAAATAATCTATAATAATTAATTCGGATTTTTTCCAACTTTTTCACATAAAGCATTCCAATAAGTCTCATGATGATATTCAAAAAGGTTCGATCCACCATATTCTGATTCCAATTGATTTTCGAGAATAAAATCTGAAGGATTAACCCAACTAGAATCTTGAGTAACTTTACTAGGATTCTTAATATCAACAAACTTAATTTTATTTTTTGTAACAGGATCAATAAAAGGAGAGAGTAATTTAAAGAATCCCCAAAAATACCAAGGAGCTAATTAAAATAATAAAGTTTGATTAATTAAAAAAGGTTAAAAAAAGGAACTGAATAATATTGCGAATTATTTACCATTAATGATCATAGAATATCCCAATCGCTCAGGATAATTACTACTTAAAACGTTCATAAATTCTTTAGCCACTCCCAAACCGGGACTATTTCGAGCGGAACAATTATTAAAGTTAAAATCAACAATAATTACAATGTTCTCTACATTGTCTGGCATAATTTTAATAGCACTTTCAAAATTAAATATAATAAAGCGTAATTGATCAGGACCAGGTGAAGTATTTTCTAATCCAGGTCTCAAATATAGAATTGGTCGTCCATCTTTATCGAATCCATTTAGATGTTGTTTACCAGTAACGGCCTTAGAAATTCAAATTAATTAGTTTGTGCTTGTAAAATAAATCATTGTGAAAGAATCATTTATACCTCAAATTCAACTAATTTAGGGTCAATCTCCGAGGGTTTATATTCTCTTCTCCATGCTAAACTATCTTTTATTTTTTTCTTCGCATCTGTTAAATTCCACTTTGCCGCTCGCAAATAACGTTTCAAACAAGCATCCGTTGTCCAATCTCTTTCTATTTGATAACGAACATCTTCCTTTGGAATCAAAATGCTATCTACATATTCTTTGAATAAACTAAAAATTTCTTTTTGCTCTGCAATAAGTTCAGGTGGTGATGTTATATTATATGAACAAGTTAAAATTGGAATTCGAGTTTTGCTAAGTTGACCTTTATTATCTTTATTATTTGCCATGTTAAATTCCTCTAGAGAAGATTGATTTAAAAGGTAAACTAAAGAAATGAATGTTTGAGAATATTACATTTTTTTTTTTTTTTTTAACTAAAAATTTGAGTTAAGGTACTTTATGATTGGGTTGAGCAGATGTATTTAATTAATTTCGGAAAAAGATTTCTACTGCATCGTGATACATCTCGTTCAATTTCCAATGATCATCAGCCAATAGTTTTCTCAGGAAAGGATTTTCCCACGACACTTTTCTTTGATTATAAATCTCTTCATTGTCTACTTTTTTATATAAAAATTCTTAAAAATGCCAGCAACCAGCAAGAAGAAGTTCGTCAACAACGTCTCGATTTCCCTTTCATGCTCAACTTCATGAATAAACTACTATTGATATTTTTCTTAGGGAGTGATTTTACTATTGTTCAATAAAATTTTACGGTTTATGCCACTTTTGCCTTTTAAAAATCAATTACTAATGAAACTTAACCTACTGGCAGGCTCCTTTGCATATACTATATCTTATTTGTTAAAGTAATTTCTTTGATATGAGTAAATTTAATAAATATAGTTATGATTGTAATAAAATAATAAAGATGCAAATTAAGGGATGTTGCGGGAAAATTGGTCATCCCTATGAAAATATTCATTTGATATACGAAAATGGGACTTAATATAAGATTCGTTGTATAAAAAATGTATTATATCGCAATTTAATATTACTGTAAGTTTCATCATAATAACTTATCAACTCTCAGTTTTTAATACATGAGTCCTTAACTTTAGCCTTATTTTTTTTTATTCCATTGTTATAAAATAAATAAAAGTGCATGGCATAGTTCCGGCAATGTAAGCAAGCAGATATGACCTAATTAATGGTATTTGCAGATGCGTAAAATTTGTAGAAAGAATTTCTCCAAATATATGGAACTCATTTATAAGCTTTTTCCAAAACAAACCAGTTTGTACATCGGAACTAGTTCTCATTAAGCATTTTCTCACGCTAGGTTATTTCATTGGTCGCATCTGCATCGCCATATATAACCATGTCTCGACCGTTAAATTTTTGAGATAAGGGTTACACAATTGTATTACACTGCATGAATATCGTTACTAAAACAGGATCCGAGGTTAATAATATTTTAGATAATAATCGTCAAAATCTTTCAGTAGAATCTTTGAAACAATTAAAAATGATGCATTTTAATGGCGATTTAATTTTTTTTGGTAATATAAATATCCGCAGAAATGATTATAAGCAAAATTTTCGCGTCGGTGAAGATGAAGACCCAATCAAAAAAAAAAAAGATTTCAAAATATATTTAACGTTAGAAATACCATAATAGATTTCCATTTGAGAAAGAATTTCACAGTAAATACATAATTGAGCATTACTTACTAAATTCAAATGACCTGTATTTATCCAAATATATGAACTCATTTATCAGTTGTGCATCGGAACTAGTTCTCATTAAGCATTTTCTCACGCTAGGCTACTTCATTGGTCGCATACTACATCACCATATATAATCATGTCTCGACCGTTAAATTTTCGAGATACGAAGTTACACAATGCTCATTATTGTGTTACATTGCATGTAATATCGTTACTAAAACAGGATCCGCAGGCAAGCTTGTGAATTTAAAAAAGCTGCAATTTATTTTCCATTGAATTCGAATGTTTGTTGGGAAAAACACCGATTCCATTGAAGCGAACGGATGTGAAATAACAAAATAAGATTGTACATCGGAACTTGTTCTCATTAAGCATTTTTCTCACGCTAGGCTATTTCATTGGTCACATACTGCATCACCATATATAACCATGTCTCGACCGTTAAATTTTTGAGAAACGCGTTACACAATGGTTACACAATGCTCATAATTGTATTACACTGCATGAATATCGTTACTAAAACAGGATCCGTAGGTTAATAATATTTTCAAAATCTTTCTTGAAACAATTAAAAATGATGAGTTCAAATTCCATAGCAACGCTCCTCCTATATCAAGAACAATTAAAGGCTGCTTAGTTATATAATTAATTTTTGCAAATGCTTCTCTATCATCCCTTTCTAATACTTCATAATACGCCATGTCAATCTTTAATTTTTCAACACCTACAGTGTATGTCTGCATCATTTCTAAAGCTTTGCGCTATGGCACCTCTATTGCAAAACTTGGGACGCGTAATATAAAATTTCCATTCAAAAAAAAAGAAAGAAGTTGAGCATTTATCAATAACCTTAACCACTTCTGTTTTAGGAAGGAAGTTTTTATAAATTGCATTGGATGTCGTGAAAATTGCGCGAAAAGATGACTTAAGAAATATTTAAAGTATTTGTTATCAA